AATCGGGTGAATCGACAAGAAGCTTCTGTAATGAGATGTTGTAGTGCGTGGTTCCAAGAAGGCCGAAATCGACGAGTTAGAGGTACTGGACGTCAAAGACAGACTAGAGAGCGATAGGATCGTTATTTGAGGCAACTAGCACTAAGATTTTCCACAAAAATTACAGTTGCGAACTAGTGGTTTGATGCTGTTGCAAGGTCAATAACAATGAGGACAGTTTATCGCCCAATAAGGTCTTTTGGGCTGTTTTCATACCGTCCCCATCTTGTATGTACTACCTCTGACCCCACAGCATCATCAGCAACGATTGGTATGGAGTAGGGAGGGACTTGAGTGGAATATGGAATGGAACTCAGTCGTATTCAGCGATGAGTCCAGATTCTGTTTGGGCATACATGATGGCCGTGCAAGAGTAAGGAGGAGACGTGGTGAAAGACGGAACTTCCAATATTCCATAAAACGGTATATTCATCGCACTGTGGGTATTATGGTATGGGATGCCATTGCTTACGGCAGCAGTGTTCATTCGAGGTACCAAGACTGCCTATATCCACAAAGTTTTACAACCAAATCTGCTTCCCTTTTTGGAAACATTGCAAGATCCACTTTTTCAGCAGGACAATGCACGACCTCATGTCGCACGTGTTAGTTTAGACGTATGTATGCTCAAAATTACAGTACTGCTAGTCGGTGTTACATTTTCTATGTCATTTGGTATACATTTGTGTTCGAACGATAAACAATACTCAAGGCATCGCAACATCCAGTGAGAATAATTACAGTCCGACCTTGCAGCGTCTAGCACTGCCTGTGGATGAAGCGCGCGCTGCGACAGCTCTCGCTATACTGATACTCTACGTGCTGAGTACGTGCTGGCATGAGATGCACGTCAAATCCACTAGGTCAAGGCTGCTCAACCTTTTTAACAGTCGGACCAAACGGTGGATTCAGACTTCACGACGGGCCACTGAAAATTCCTATTTCGGTTACTCTCAGGACATGTGCATTAAAAACCCAATATTAAGAAATAAAATAAAATTATTTAGTTTAGTATAAGCTTTATTAGGTAATACGAGTATTATGAACAAACAGAGAGTATCTTATGCTAAATAAAGAAAGAAAATTGAACTTATGTATGTATCTTCTAAAATCTAAATCTAGGGTAAGTCGTTGTTACAATCAATGTGATTTAATAATTTATTTATGTTAGGCGACAAATCCGATGTTGCGAGTAACAACAAGTCACAAATATGTTGCTCAGTTAAGGATGTGCGGTATTTATTTTTTACATAATTAAGCTCTGAAAAAACCTTTTCACAGATGTATGTTGATCCAAAACTACTTAAAAACTGTAACGCCAGGTCAGTTATTGCTGGAAATTCTGAATTGGTACCGATTTCCAAAAATCTGCAAAATCTTAAGAATTTTGTGCTTTCGAAGACAATTTGTTGGCAAACATATTTTTTAACGAATCATGATTTTGCAGTTCAACGAGTTCCAACTGAATATTGGCAGGATAACCAACTTTTTCAGCCATACTTATTATGAAAGGATTTATAAAAATTTGTACATTTTGTTTTTTGCTTTCAAAGTCTTGAAATCTCCTCTCAAACGAGTGCTAAACATCGAATTTTAGATTGGTATTTAGAATAGTTAACAGTAGCAATATTGAGCTCCTCTTTCAAATGTTTTAGTGTGGGGAAAAGGTCAATATTTTCTGTAGCCAAATTAATTGAAAAAAAATTAATTTTGCGTTGAATCCGCTTATCAAATTAAACATAGTCGGAAGTGAACAATCTTTACCTTGTAATTTGAGATTCAAAATATTGAGATAATTCGTAATATCAACAAGAAATGCAAGAACACTCAACCAGGATGTATAAAGAAAATATAAACTCATACACTCATTCTTTACTTTCAAAATAGGTAGGTACCTAAGTAATATGAAAACATAAATACTTAATGAATAACACTTTCAACAGTCAGTTAAACTATACTCGTATAACACGTGCGCACTCAATTGTTTTTCGACACATAAATCAAATTCAAGCGAATAACCAAATGAACGTGGTATTTACCATTTTGGAGTGGTATTTACCGATCCGTTCAAGCGAGTGTGGTTATCAGTTTGGTATAAGATCCGTGACGTCATGAATCAGCTGTTTTATGTCATAGTTATCAAAATTGTGGTATTTACCCAACTTAGGAGTAGTTTTCTATTTCTGGTTATTATTTGAAATGTGACACATTAGTTTTGAGAAACTTGATACAGGCTAACTTTAGTTGTAGCATAAAGTAGAGCATCTTATTAGATATACTCATTACTGTTGTTGGGGACACTTTAAATCTAGTTCCTATGCTCAACAAAGTATCCTGTGTAGTCATATACCACAACAGTATTAAAATATGGCCATATAAACTCACTGGATAATGTCCACCTGTATACGGTTTTGCTACCTATCTTTTTTCATCTCTTTATCCTATCATTTCTGCTAAATCAATGAATGTTTTCTTTAACATGCGGAAAAGTTTAGAGAATTGAGGGTTATCATAGCTACAAAGACATGGTTCCATCGTTCAAACAACAACAACAAAAAAAAATGTCTCCCATTAATATTATGAAAGGTTTCTTTTTTAATCTTTCCGTACACTGTTCTAGACGAAAAAGCACCGATTATTAAATGATAATAAAATTAATCAGAAATTATATACGCGCTTTTCTAAAATAAACAACTACAGACTGTATTGCGCGGGCCGGGTCGATGAGCGTGCGTACTGTGTAAAAAAATTATTGAAATATCGAAAACACATAAAAACATGGCTTAAAAAAGTTCTAACAAATGAAAATGACAATAAAACATCCACGCATTTTATCGAAAGTTATAAAAGTTTTGTTACTTGTAATATGTTTTATCTGCCCCCTGGAATTAATGTTTAGAACCTTGTTCCCAAGGTTTGAAAAACATCCGATTGTTGTCTATTACTCGTATTTACCTGCTGGATTTTTTAATCCGGTGGACAGTCCATCTAGAAAGGCCCTCCTGGATGAAGTTACAGAATCATCAACCCATACTTTACTTGTAGTGTGTCCTGCGTTTACCCACGTTTCATCAAGGTAATAAATCTTCCTGTTTTGATTTCTATATTTCCCAATTTTTGTTAAATAATCCCTCCTCCATAGCACAATTTCTTCTCTATCCAGTAGTAAACTATTACGACCCCGTTTTTTCCATTTGAAATTTAAATGCTTCAGTAACGCATGGAAAGTTGATCGTTTGAAATTTGGCAACGTTGTATCTCCATTTACCTCCTGCAGTACTTTATCCATAGTAGGTATTTCATTCCTAAAGAAGAATTCATGCACTTTCCTCCTAATCGCATGCTTATCAGCTTCATCCAATGATTTAACAATACTTTTGCGATGTTTACTGGTCATTGGCTCAGAAAAGGTGTGATTTTTTTTGTATTGTCTTAACACATTAAACACTGATGCGCGACACACCCCAACTTTGTGAGAAACCTTCACAACAATTTCTTTGATGGTTGATGCCTCGTTCTCCTCGCGCTCGATCTTATATATATTCAAAATGACCTCTTTCATTTCTGCACTCAGGTGTCTTTTTTTAGAGCGTTTCCTAGGTGGACTATAGGAGTTTACAACTTCATCGGCAGTATCTGTACTACTGGGCATTTTGCGCAAGCAGTTGATAACAATAACAATCAATAACAAGGTATAACAATAACAACGACAAACTCAACAACTTAATAAGATAACAAACGAAAACGTCCAAAGAAATATCAAATTGCAATGATGCACACGACATACGTAACACGTCTGAACCTGAATGTGACTCTGCCTTGATACGACTGCTCTGCCGCTCAGCATAGGCATTTAATTGCGAATTGACCAATGAGGGCTCCTGTTTTACGTCGAGACGGCGGCGTTAGCGCGAAAATCACCCGAACCTTTTGTTTACATCCGGTCTATCTCTTATCTGAATATACTGTAGGTACTACGTTCGCGGCGGGAAATTTGGAGGGATTTTTCAATTTGGCGCGTATTTCAAAACTTACTTGCGCGGGCCATTTAAAATTCTTTCGCGGGCCTGGGGTTGACCACCAAACAACAAATATTAGCGAAACTGATTTTACTGCCTCATAGGATTATAAGCTGTGATGCTATGATGCCGGCCTATGGACGCATACCTTTATTGCATATCTATCTGCATCTTCTCAGGGCTCCGCATGTCTAGTAATCTGTTTGAAAATATCTGCGGACATATTACGTAAGCCGAGGTTATGCGATATGCGGCAAAATTATGAGCGTACAGTAAGTTTTTCAATGGACGAAACTAGATCTGGCATCAGATATGCAAGCGAATATGCATAAATAGGTAGATGCTTTACAACTTCGCGAATAAGGTAACTAGTTTCATACAAATATGTGCATTCGTACATTATATCTGCTGGATGCATTTATTTTTCTCCATATAAGAACGGTGTGAGCATTGCGCGTATATTGTGGGTTTATGCAACATGTCAGCTTTATAGTGTGCGTGACACGTGACAAAGGGTTTTCTGGAAGATAGTAAAGGCACATTTTTTTTTATACTGAAGCAGTCCCGTCAGGAGAAATTTAAATATCGGCGCACCGCGACAACTATAAGGAGCTTGTTAATTCAATTTTTTAACTGCAAAGGGTTAGCAGAACTGGGAGAAACCTCCGCAGGCAGACTGTTCCACAATCACGATACCAAAAGAACGAAGGAGCGGTCGTACCGGGCAGTTCGCGATGTTCGACAAAGTTGGAATATAACGTCTGAAAATACGAGGGTTATCTTTTAAGTTTTGCATATAGAAACATAGTAGGCCGCGCGGATCGAACGTCAGTACTGAATCTGAACCTCACTCTTTAGTAAACCTAAATTCAAAGTTTCACAACAATACGTGCAGTGTTCTCACTAAAGTGAATTTTTAAGTGTCACCTAGTCATTAGAAAAATGGAACTCAACCGAGAACATTTTCGCGCCATAATTTATTACAACTTTCAGAGACAATTATCGCAACAAGACCGCCTTGCTGAGTTACTGTCTGTTTTTGGCAACAAAGCGCCGCATCAGTCGACAATTTCCCGTTCGTATTGAGAATTCAAACGTGGACGGGTGAGTCTTAGCGACGATCCCAGGGTGGGTGCACCAAAAACGGCAGTCACCCAGGAAAATGTCGATGCTGTGCGCAAACTCATCATTGAAGATAGACATGTGACACGAGATTCAGGCGTCCTTGGAGATCTCAAAGACCTCAATTGAAAAAATTTTACATGAAGAATTAAGAGTAAGAAAATTAGTTTCTCATTCGATACCCCTCCTGTTGACTGAAGAGCAGAAAGCAGCCAGGGTTAATTGGTGTCAAAAAACGCTTGACCATTTCAATTCCGGAAACTCAAAAAATGTGTACAGCATTGTTAGTGGTGATGAATCGTGGATTTACTGTTCTGAACCAGAAAATAAACGGCAGTCGGCTGTTTGGTTGTTCCAAGGTGAAGAAAAGTCGACAAAAGTCATCCGTTCTCGGTGTTTCGAAAAAGATGGTCGCGAGATTTGTGTCAAAAGCGGATCCATATTGCAACAATTCCTCTTAATGAGCAAAGAACTGTTACTGCGGATTGGAATACCACCATTTGTTTCCCAAAAGTCATCACCGAGCTTCGAAAAATCAACCACGAAAGAAGAATCATCCTCCAAAAAGACAATGCAAGCTCGCACACAGCCCAAAAAACAAGGCAGTATTTAGCGGAAGAAAACGTGGAATTATTGCACCATCCTCCATATAGTCCCTATCTAAGTCCTAACGATTCCTTTACTTACCCGAAAATTAAAAACAGACTGCGTGGTCAAAGGTTCCAGTCACCCGAAGAAGCAGTTGACGCATTCAAGAATGCCGTTTTGGATCTGCCAGCAAACGAGTGGAATAAGTGCTTCGAAAATTGGTTCGAGCGCATGCAGATGTGTATTAATCTTCGTGGAGAATACTTCGAAAAACAATAAAGTCAATTAAAACTACCTACCGTGTTGTTTTATTTCCATATGCAAAACTTAAAAGACATCCCTCGTACAATACCCAACTGACAGAAAAATACTTCAATATTTTTTTTTGTATTTACAAATATGGTGAAGGTGTAAGAAAAAATGGATCCCTAAAAAATCAAGAGTGCTTTTCAAAGAGGTCTTCCATGCTTTTTTTGAATGAACTTTTAAGCTGGTAAGCGGAAATTCGGACTGATGAAAATGATACATGAATATTATAATTCAATTCCTGGTCCAAATTCCTGGAGCGGCAGTATAGCGGTGATATAGTAGCGCTTCTGTTGATTCAGTGGGGTGCAGAAAGCGCTTGTAAAAGCGGTAGATCAAGCGCGGATGCGCTTAAGGGATACCGGAAAGATCTGACTTGTGACTGCTACATAGGTTAATCAGCAAAATATAGATGAAATATAATTAACCAGTGAAAAAATTATTATTGAAATCGATCAATAAATGACAGAGAAATTAATACTTAAATCTGGCGCATTATAGGGCGAAATCATTGCTGCCGTAGGTTCACGTTTGACGTCACACTTCACTAGTGCCGAGGGTGCCGACAGCGTCTGTGCGTTTAGTAATTATTAGTCTATCGAAAATTCATAAGACACTCCTGTGCGCTTGGTCACGTGGTTTCTAGTTGATAACTATTGAGTACTGCGTAAGTTCGTACCATTAAGGAAGCCGGATTTGTAAAAGGGTTAAGTGATAATTTGCCCAGAATTGACATTTATGTAGTGATGGAATTTATTTCTTTAAATCCATCATATACAAGCGCGGAAATAAAAGGTGTGAAACTTTGGAAGTAAGGATTTATGCCTACTGCTATAATGTCACAAGCAGCTGTAAAATGTGCGATATACCCTACTGAAGTTTTAAACAAACTAGTTTTGATGCCTAATATGAGTACAGATTTGCGAATATGACACTATATTTTCCAGGGCAGTAAGAGATCCGTATCGTGAAGATGCTATTGGTTATGTTCCGTTGAAACGTGAAGGTACTAAATGCATTGTAAAATGCAGAGTTTCACCTGGACATACAGTGGAAACTACGCCTCACCACTGCACATTGGTCTATGACGAAAGTGAAGAAAAAATTGAAACAGTTGTGTGTTATAATTGTGATGCTAAGCTTGGTGGATGTAAACACACATAACGTTTTTGATCTGGCTTTTGAAAAGAAGGCAGAAACCTGCAAGTATATACTTCAATAGAATCTTACTGGATGAAACCGGCGCTATCTAAAGATGGAAGTAATATTAGGTTTATTAAAGCGAAAGATTTCAATAACGAAAGTGAAAGTTCTCCATATTTAGACGTAGTAGAGGATCCTAACTTCTTCGATAGACTCAGTAAATAATGTAATTGAAGAAAACTTAATAAGACCCAAGTAATGGCTTACTTTACACCTTTTTGGCAGTCAAGCTTATGAGGGTCTACTTCGACTTTCAGTATCAATCTCCCACCGACTAGTTTATATTTTATCAGATTTTCAGTATCATGCTCAATCTGTAAAAACAAAAAGGCACGAAAATCCAAATTTGAAGTAACCTAATTTCATAAAGGCGTTACTTTTCAAGAATCCCATTAAAATACATAATAATACCGCACATGATGCAGTACTAGTCAAACTACTTGACGCCTTTTTAGGGGGATAAGTGACACAAATAGCTATTCTCGCTGAGTTGAAATAAGTGATCTGTAATATTAGTTGATACATATTTCCCACCCAAATGTCACGTGTACATTGAAATGGGCTTGGGAATCTTATATCTAATAATCATAAATAGTAAAGTGATATACTCATATCAAAGTGGTCTTCACAGACATATGTTGCACTTTTTGGTCCAATCAAATCACGCTTTATAAGTTTGCACCATTTCTTCCTGATATTTTCATGAGAGGGTACGTAGAAAAAATGTTTATTAGCTGTTGTAATTGTTGTGCTCGTACATTTTGGAACGATACAGTATTTATAACATTTTTTGTTATTTCGCTCATAACCGATCGTATATGCAGTCAACTAATTAAACAAAAATTGACGCGGAAGACGTTTAGCCCAGCACGTGTTCCCGCTGTAGGTGTGTGTTTAGGAAATTGAGTCGGCTCGGACCCAGGAGTCGGCCGTCGCAACTGGATAGTGAAGTGTGAATAAAAATATTCTCGCGGGGCGCAAATTTGATAGGCTGTAAATTTTTTGTTTTTAGAGATAAATTAATAATTTTCTCACCACCTTGTTTCATTCTTCTAAAAATTTCGTTTGACCTAATAACAAAAAAATGGTAAACTTATCCATTGTCGCGGCGCGTGCGCGACGGATGATTAACGACAACTTATATACGCGATAAATGAACAATATGATCTAGACAACCCACATATCTGCAACACTCCATATTGCAAGATTTTTTAATGGAATTGAGACAGATGTGATATCTCATTTTGAGGCTCCTTATGAGAACTTCTACTGAAACAGCGGACTGTCAGGTCGTCAAATTTGAGCATTTTTATACATTGAATCACTTATAACTCAAGAACCAAAAATCAAAAAATATCAAAACGCTATGGTATATTATAGGTATCAACCTTCTTTTCATGGAATGGCATCTCCGAATATGCAATAAAAAACGGAATATCTCGTTAAAAAGTGTGCCAATTTGCAATGGATGACGACTATAGTTTCAATTCCGGATAATATTTCGCTCTGATATATTCTTGAATAGATATCTGATTTGAGACGCCAATAAAGAAATCATTGGAAATAGTGTCATGTATAAAATCTCCATTATTGTCAGCGGTAGATCATTCATTAGGCCGCTTGATTAATGACTGGTACGTCATAAATAGTTTCAACAGCAGCATAATTTCTTAATCAGTTGGTTCTTAGAACAGCGACAATGGTCACGGCGTCTCCTTGTAAAGCTACACGCCTTCATCTTGTCTTGTATGCATTTGTGTACATGATAGGTTGTGAAATTTATACAGTTCCTACAGAAAGCAACATATCTCACATGTATTGTTACAAGCTTTTATTTGTAGCTTCAGCAAGTCGAATGGTATAGTGAAGCTGTGTGTGTAACGCCGCCATTTCACGGATTTTCAAAATGGGGCAGACTTGCTTGCTAAGATCCAACAGCATTACTCATCAAACTTCGTCAAAATCGGTGTTTTCATCTCACAGTGTGTGAAGGTAAAATCAAGCCAAGAAGCAGGCAGGCACTGAAGAAAGTAATTCAGTTTTTTAATTAACATTAAACAAAACTATACCTATTTATTACTTTTCTAAATGCCCAAAAAAACATAAGGTTATGCTGAGTTTTTTTTGCAAAATCTTCTACTTCAAATATGCTCCCATCTTTCCATCTTTTTTCCTCAAAAACTGCATAGCAGGGAATACATCCGTTTTTCGTGACAAGTATAAAATTGCCAAAAAGCCCTATATTGAAAAGTCAAGCGTGCAATACAATCACTAATTACAGTGGAATGTCCATTTTCAACAATTTTGCTAAGTTGTTTTTGCTATCACCGTATCTAAGCATACAGAAATTATTTCTTGCTATTCAAATTGCTACTATCTGATAGACAGCAGTATAGATCTGAAGCTAATGAGCCTAATGAATAAAAACTAATATCTTATCGGTATATTATTGACAATTCAGCGCTAGAAGGAAGTGATTGCATTAGAGATCTAGCTGCCTATTTTCATAATCAGTAGACATCTAATTTTCATGTAAGCGAAACATTACTGAGCGCTTGTTGCACATACGGTTTTATTGTAAGGAATGCAAGAATTTTAGTGACACCTTAGCATTAACATCTCTATATTTTAGCCTAGTAAGATGCAAACTGGAATAAGGCTCACTCATGTATAGCCAGTACATCGTCGCTATTGAAAAAGTACAAAAGAAAACTTTCAAAATCATAGCTTTTAAAATCGATGGTGTGTACTCACCAAGAAGTTGTAGTTATCCTGAGCTACTACATGTATGTTATTTGATCATCAGTCGAAAATCGATTGTTCTATATTCTTAGCTCAGGTTCTGGTTCCTAGAATAACATCTAGGTATTTTAACAGTCAACTGTTTCCTGTACATACCAAAGAACACAAACTAATTTACTATCGAAGGCTCCTTAATTTTATGTTCCGAAATGCCAAAAAATTTCAATTGCACTTTTTGAATATCAAAGAATAACTCACGAGTCCATCTCTGATGGATTTTGGTCAAGTTTCTTATGTTTATATTTGTGGTATTTCTTCTATTTCTATTCTTTTTGTTACTCCAAGATATTTTCATTTATGCTGTAACCATCATGTAACCTATGTTGGGCAATATACGCATTATTATTATTAGTGTTATTATTATTTCAATTATTATTATTATTATTATATTAAAGTCTACTGCTCACGAAAACGTTTGATCAAAAAGGTATGGAGAATAACATACCAAGATTCTAGTCAATTTGATAGGAAATCAATATTTCGATGACTTCCTAACAATGCAACTCTAAAACCATTGATAGTCGTGCCTTCTGCCTATTCTTTCCTAACCTTATCATGGTGTCATACTAACACATCAGCCAGTTGAATCGAAATTTATTTTCCATGAGATTTAGTAATTTGATGCCACCAAACAATATCTAAAAAAACCAGACGCACTAAGTTCATAATTCTAGAAGATCATGTAGGTGTTTGTATTAAGCTTGAATACCGTGTTACTCGAAAACCGTTGATAGTAGTCCCATAGTTCACTAGAGACGATTTATCAAATTGATATGGACAACAACATACTGAAATTTCAGCTGATTTAATCAGGAGTCAGTTGTAATAAGAAATGTGCCGTCTCCTCTCCTACGAATATCTAAATCATACGGAAGAATTTGCACTTCCAATGTCGGAAGAACGTAATTATTTTACAATTTATCAAATCGTTTATTAATGATCACTCGAAGTCGATTGAGTTATTTTAA